AATAAAAATATCATCAACCTACACACAATACCCCATAATGATGAAGCAAAAACAGGTTTTTAGAATTTTTTGCAAATGTATTAAAAATAAAAAACTTAAATCTTACATTAACATAAGTATTCAGACCCTTTACTCAGTACTTTGTTGATGCACCTTTGGCAGCGATTACAGCCTTGAGTCTTCTTGTGTACAAGCTTGGCACTCCTGGCTTTGGGGAGTTTCTCCCATTCTTCTCTGCAGATCCTCTCAAGCTATGTCAGGTTGGATGGGGAGCGTCGCTGCACAGCTATTTTCAGGTCTCTCCAGAGATGTTCGATCGGGTTTAAGTCTGGGCTCTGGCTGGGCCACTCAAAGACATTCAGAGACATTTGCACCGAAGCCACTCCTGCGTGGTCTTGGCTGTGTGCTTAGGGTCGTTGTCCTGTTGGAAGGTGAAACTTCACCTCAGTCTGAGTTCCTGAGCGCTCTGGAGCAGGTTTTCCCAGTCCCTGCCACTGAAAAACGTCCCCACAGCAAGATGCTGCCACCATCATGCTTCACCGTAGGGATGGTGCCAGGTTTCCTTCAGACTTGATGCTTGGCATTCAGGCCAAAGAGTTCAATCTTGGTTTAATCAGACCAGAGAATCTTGTTTCTCATCATCTGAGAGTCCTTTAGGTACCTTTTGGCAAACTCCAAGCGGGCTGTAATGTGTATTTTACTGAGGAGTGGCTTCCGTCTGGCCACTCTACCATAAAGACCTGATTGGTGGAGTGCTGCAGAGATGGTTGTCCTTCTGGAAGGTTCTCCCATCTCCACAGAGGAACTGGAGCTCTTTCAGAGTGACCGTCGGGTTCTTGGTCACCTCCCTGACCAAGGCCCTTCTCCCCCGATTGCTCAGTTTGGCCGGGCGGCCAGCTCTAGGAAGAGTCTTGGTGGTTCAAAACTTCTTCCAATTAAGAATGATGGAGGCCACTGTGTTCTTGGGGACCTTCAATGCTGCAGACATTTTTTGGTATCCTTCCCCAGATCTGTGACTCGACACAATCCTGTCTCGGACCTCTAAGTACAATTCCTTCGACCTCATGGCTTGGTTTTTGCTCTGACATGCACTGTCAACTGTGGGACCTTATATAGCCAGGTGTGTGCCTTTCCAAATCATGTCCAATCAATTGAATTTACCACAGGTGGACTCCAATGAAGTTGTAGAAACATCTCAAGGATGATCAATGGAAACAGGATACACCTGAGCTCAATTTTGAGTGTCATACCAAAGGGTTTGAATACTTATGTAAACAAGGTATTTCTGCTTTTAATTTTAAATACATTTGCAAAAATGGCTAATAACCTGTTTTCGCTTTGTCATTATGGGGTATTGTGTGTAGATTAATGAGGAAAAATGTTTACTTCATCCATTTTAGAACAAGGCTGTAACGTAACAAAATGTGGAAAAAGTCAAGGGGTCTGAATACTTTCCGAATGCACTGTATGAATGGACAAAGCCATTGATCATATGACACCATTCATTCCTATGTGAAGACTCAATAGCACATTGAAGCCAAATTTTGTCGGTTAAGATGGCATGTCATGGAGACATAACATGCGCAGTTTGTGCTACTCCAGGAAGTGACATTGTAGGCTAGCTCAGTGCTGCCCCCTCTATCTCAAATTGTAGGCCAACCGGGGTACTGCAGGCTTCCATTAGCAACTAAATGGCTTTACATCACCTGCCATCACATGGTTGGAGTGTTATTTGTCCAATAGATACCAGAGAGTGCTTCAATGGAAGCTTTTGGTCTTTTCCCATCTTGATTTCTGTCTGGTAATATGGTCAAGTGCAGCAAGGAAAGACCTAGCAAAGCTGCAGCTGGCTCAAAACAAAGCAGCACGCCTTGCCCTTAACTGCACATACATAACTAACATCAACAACATGCATGCCAGTCTTTCCTGGTTGTGGGTTGACGAGAGATTAACTGCTTCTCTTCTAGTTTTCATAAGAAATATTACTGTGATGAAAATTCCAGATTGTCTGCATAATCAAATGACATTCAGCTTAGACACCCATACATACCCCACAAGACATTCCACCAGGGGTCACTTCACAGTCCCCAAGTCCAAAACGAATTCACTGCAACTCACAGTATTATACAGAGCCATGATCCCTTCCATCTCCAATTACTCAAGCAAACAGCAAAATTACCTTTAAAAAAATAATTTAACAACATGTCATGGAATGGCGGGGACTGTGAGGGGACACACAAACACACACACACACAGACACACTCTAACAGACACATCATTTTTTTGTTGTATTGTTTCTATAATTTTTTTGTTGTATTGCTTGTACTGTATATCGTTGTATTTTAAATGTGTGTGACTGTCCTTGTCTATCAGTGTATCAGTGTTTTGTTACTTGTCATGTTTTGTGCTTTTTGTGGATCCCAGGAAGAGTAGCTGATGCTTCTGAAAAAGCTAATGGGGATCAAAATAAACAAATACACAGATAAATAAACAAATGAATGATCCTTATAACTTCTTCTGTGTGTGATTTTAAAATAGTCCGTTCAAGGACATACATCTGGTGTATTAGAAGCAATTATTGGTACCATGATTGCTCTTGAAACATTTTTTTATTTACACAAAGATTGACCACGAACATAGGCATTTTTCCATTCATTATAACGGGGGATCCTGTTTTCTGCTAACAATACCTGCAATACCGTGGTCGGCTTTGAACTTCCGTGGTTTCAATGATAAGGGCCAGTCGTATCTCAATCCAGGGATGGAAGGTGTCGCTGTACTCCTAATTATCCAAGCCGCAAAATCGAGAAGATTGAAACACTGCTAGTTTTTAATTAAACTGCCTATTTCATCAGCATGCTAGGCTAGCTAATGCTAAAGCAGGCCATTGGATTCCACAACACTTCCAGCAGCAACTCACCCCAACGCTAGGCGTCACATTTTTCATGAAGTGTTTTTTATTATACTTCTTTGTGTTGTGTACTTCTTATTTTACCATTTCATTTTTTAGGTAACTGTTTTGCCATTTGGTGGAGAATAGCCACCCTTTGCCTCCTGTAGCTCAGTTGGTAGAGCATGGCACTTGCAACGCCATGGTTGTGGGTTCGATTCCCACAGGGGGCCAGTATGAGAAATGTATGCACTCACTAACTGTAAGTCACTCTGGATAAGAGCGTCTGCTAAATGACTAAAATGTAAATGTAATGACAGCTTTGCACACTCTTGGAATTCTCTCAACCAGCTTCACCTGGAATGCTTTTCCAACAGTCTTGAAGGAGTTCCCACATATGCTGAGCACTTGTTGGCCTGTTTTTCCTTCACACTGCGGTCCGACTCAACCCAAACCATCCCAATTGGGTTGAGGTCGGAGGATTGTGGAGGCCAGGTCATCTGATGCAGCACTCCATCACTCTCCTTCTTGGTAAAATAGCCGTTACACAGCCTGGAGGTGTGTTGGGTCATTGTCCTGTTGAAAAACAAATGATTGTCCCACTAAGCCCAAACCAGATGGGATGGCGTATTGCTGCACAATGCTGTGGTATCCATGCTGGTTAAGTGTGCCTTGAATTCTAAATAAATCACAGGCAGTGTCATCAGCAAAGCACCCCCACACCATAACACCTCCTCCTCCATGCTTTACGGTGGGAACTACACATGCGGAGATCATCCGTTCACCCACATCGCGTCACCGCGTCACCCACACCTTTTAAGAAGGCACACCTGTTAATTGAAATGCATTCCAGGTGACTACCTCATGAAGCTGGTTGAGAGAATGCCAAGAGTGTGCAAAGCTGTCATCAAAGCAAAGGGTGGCTATTTGAAGAATCTCAAATATGAAAATATATTTGTTTAACACTTTTTTGGTTACTACATGATTCCATATGTGTTATTTCATAGTTTTTATGTCTTCACTGTTATTCTACAATGTAAAGAATTGTAAAAAAAAAATTTAAGAAAATCCCTTCAATGAGTAGGTGTGTCCAAACTTTTGACTGGTAGCGTAGAAAGTATGAAATATAAAACAACAAACAGGTTTCCAATACACATTTCAACACCGTCAGATTTATCTAGTGTTTCAAGGTGTCCTAAATACTGTATGCTGCTCCCTTCAGGAGAGGGGTTGTTGTTTCTGTCTGAGTATAGGTGGCTGGAGTTTACTAGACATTTCACCCTAGAGAGTGAGGGGGAGGAGCTCACAAGCGCTCAGCAATAGCAAGCCCACTGATAACACCAAGTTAAAAAGGCTTAAAAGGTAACATATGACTCTGTTAAAATAGCAATATAGAGTCAGAGTGTCAGAAAAGGATAGGGATAGGCAAAGACAAAATGGAATAATGGCAGTTTTGTTTGACACGTTTAAATCCACAGTCTGCTTGTGGGTTTTAGTTTTTGGGGAATGGCACGATATTTGATTTTGAAATGGGTAGAAGCTCAAGGTACTTGGACATAACACAGGAGCAATGGCGTAAAACTACAGGTGTGGTATCTTCATTTGATCACTCTGTTATCGCTGAGAATTTCAAATGAGCCTTGTGATTTACATAAATTCACTGAAAACCTGCAGTTCTCTCTCTCGCTCACTCACTCAAACGCTAACACACCAGACATAATAAATGTCCTACTACTGTAGGTCCTACTACTGCGACATTAAAATGTAGAACAACTTTTGTTTTATATAGCTTAATAACACAAGATAGATATTGGTCTTCACTATGACATACAAGTGTATTCGAAATGCAGCCTTAGGATACACCTAAACAAAGCCTACGGTAGCCTATGAAAACTAATTCCTGTATCACTTTTTTTAAATAATCAAATCCTTCTGCTGCAGGATTATTTTACACCTGAGACTAAACTGGTCAAATTAAGATCCGACATCTGTACACTGTGTTGTTTTTGTCTCATGTTTGAACATGAGCAGTCTAAAACTGCTACAGTGTGCTGCATATGACATTTAAACCTATGACTATTGACACACTTCAACTAATCCAAGCTGACTGCGTTGACTCCAGGTCCCATCTTCTCCTCCTCTTCTGTGATGGTGGTGATTGGGGTGTCATGGGGATGTCATCCAGACAGGACAGGTATGCAACCCTGGGCTGATGAGGAGAGAAGGCAGGTGTTTTGATTCCTTAATCTGCAGCTCGCTATAATTCAACGCTTCAGATGCTAGTCCTTCAGCCATGTCTTTTTCAGCTACAACACTGATACTGTCACGACTTCCGTCGAGGCCGCTTCCCCTCCTTGTTCGGGCAGGTTTCGGCGTCACCGGCTTACTAGCTACTGCCGATCCATTTATCATCACTCCATTTGTCTTGTCTTCAATCACACACACCTGGTCCTTATTCCCTCATTAGTCATTGTATAAGCATTCCCTCTGCTTCATTGTCTGTGTGGGTGATTGTTTATTGTGGAGGTTAGTAAAGCTCGGTGAAGCTTGTGTATTTTGTATCGACGGGAGTATTTCCCGTGTGCCTTGTATTTTCCAGTGTGCCTGTTTGGTGCCCTGGAGTGTGTTTGACGCATTTCTGCGTGAACCTGTATTTTGCGGATTAAAGCCTGTTATTCTGTGATTTACCCTCCTGCGCCTGACTCCTTCAACACCACCTCATCACAGAATCACCCACCCGATATGGAGTCAGCGGGAGAGACGCGCATGCCTGGAGTCGTGGAACGGGTCCAGGAGCATTCAACTATGCTAGCCAGCTTGGGGGAAGCGATGGATCTTTAGGTCGTCCAATGCCTGGAAAGGAGAGAGCCAGATCCGTTGAGACCAGCTGGCCAACCGGATCCCGCCACCCACACCCCAGCACCCGGAGGGATCCAGATATTCCGACCACGGGAGTTTGACGGGACAGCGGCACTGTGCCAAGGATTCCTTCTCCAACTGGAGCTCTACTTCTCCTGCATCCAGCCGGTCCCATCGGAGCGGGAGAAGATGATCTCCCTCGTCTCCTGCCTCTCGGGGAAAGCCCTGGAGTGGGCCAACGCGGTATGGAACGAAGGAGGAGCCACGTTGGAGAACTAGCGGCGAGCGGCTGGTCCACCTGAGGCAGGGGACGAGGACTGCGCAGGACTTCGCATTGGAGTTTCGAACTCTGGCAGCTGGGTCCGGGTGGAACGAGCGGGCCCTGATCGACCATTTCCGGTGCCATCTGCGAGAGGATGTCCGACGGGAGCTAGCCTGCCGTGACACCATGTTGTCCTTCTCGCAACTGGTGGACATGGCCATTCGTTAGGACAACCTGCTGGCAACCAGAGGACGTCCTGGAGGAGGTCTGCACAGGGGAGGGAATGGCCAGCAGGGATGTAGCTCAGTTGGTAGAGCATGGCGTTTGCAACGCCAGGGTTGTGGGTTCGATTCCCACGGGGGGCCAGTATGAAAAAAAAAAAAAATATATAATAATGTATGCACTCACTAACTGTAAGTCGCTCTGGATAAAAGCGTCTGCTAAATGATTAAAATGTAATGTAAAAATGCATCACCCCAGGTATCGAACACCCACACTCGTTCAGAGCCCTCTGCTGTGCACTGTAAAATACACATCTCCTTTCCTGAGCACATGGTAGTTCCCCAGTGTAAGGCGCTAGTCGATTCAGGCGCAGCTGGGAACTTTATGGACTGGGCATTCGCACACCGTATAGGCATTCCATTGATTCCCCTATCCATTCCACGCCCCATCAGAGCACTTGATAATCGACCATTAGGATCCGGGTTGGTTAAGGAAGTTACTGCACCAGTCACCATGATTACCCAGGAGACTCATTGTGAGCAGGTTACTTTTTCCATTATTGAGTCTCCTGCTTTCCCTGTGGTATCCCTTGGTTAGCACTCCACAACCCCACCTACTCATGGCCGCAGAGGGTTTTCACAGGGTGGTCGTGAGAGTGTCAGGGTAGGTGTCTAGGTGTTTCCGTTGGTGCAACCACGGTGGAAAGTCCAGACAGTACCTCCACCGTGCGCATTCCCTCTGAATACCTCAATCTGGTGCAAGCGTTCTCTAAAACGCAGGCAACTAAATTACCACCTCATCGGGCGGGGGATTGCGCGATAAACCTCTGGGTAGACGTTGTACCTCCCAGGAGTCATACAGTGGGGGGGGGAATTATTTAGTCAGCAACCAATTGTGCAAGTTCTCCCACTTAAAAAGATGAGAGAGGCCTGTAATTGTCATCATAGGTACACGTCAACTATGACAGACAAATTGAGAATTTTTTTTCCAGAAAATCACATTGTAGGATTTTTTATGAATTTATTTGCAAATTATGGTGGAAAATAAGTATTTGGTCACCTACAAACAAGCAAGATTTCTGGCTCTCACAGACCTGTAACTTCTTCTTTAAGAGGCTCCTCTGTCCTCCACTCGTTACCTGTATTAATGGCACCTGTTTGAACTTGTTATCAGTATAAAAGACACCTGTCCACAACCTCAAACAGTCACACTCCAAACTCCACTATGGCCAAGACCAAAGAGCTGTCAAAGGACACCAGAAACAAAATTGTAGACCTGCACCAGGCTGGGAAGACTGAATCTGCAATAGGTAAGCAGCTTGGTTTGAAGAAATCAACTGTGGGAGCAATTATTAGGAAATGGAAGACATAAACACTGATAATCTCCCTCGATCTGGGGCTCCACGCAAGATCTCACCCCGTGGGGTCAAAATGATCACAAGAACGGTGAGCAAAAATCCCAGAACCACACGGGGGGACCTAGTGAATGACCTGCAGAGAGCTGGGACCAAAGTAACAAAGCCTACCATCAGTAACACACTACGCCGCCAGGGACCCAAATCCTGCAGTGCCAGACGTGTCCCCCTGCTTAAGCCAGTACATGTCCAGGCCCGTCTGAAGTTTGCTAGAGTGCATTTGGATGATCCAGAAGAGGATTGGGAGAATGTCATATGGTCAGATGAAACCAAAATAGAACTTTTTGGTAAAAACTCAACTCGTCGTGTTTGGAGGACAAAGAATGCTGAGTTGCATCCAAAGAACACCATACCTACTGTGAAGCATGGGGGTGGAAACATCATGCTTTGGGGCTGTTTTTCTGCAAAGGGACCAGGACGACTGATCCGTGTAAAGGAAAAAATGAATGGGGCCATGTATCGTGAGATTTTGAGTGAAAACCTCCTTCCATCAGCAAGGGCATTGAAGATTAAACGTGGCTGGGTCTTTCAGCATGACAATGATCCCAAACACACGAAGGAGTGGCTTCTTAAGAAGCATTTCAAGGTCCTGGAGTGGCCTAGCCAGTCTCCAGATCTCAACCCCATAGAAAATCTTTGGAGGGAGTTGAAAGTCCGTGTTGCCCAGCGACAGCCCCAAAACATCACTGCTCTAGAGGAGATCTGCATGGAGGAATGGGCCAAAATACCAGCAACAGTGTGTGAAAACCTTGTGAAGACTTACAGAAAACGTTTGACCTGTGTCATTGCCAACAAAGGGTATATAACAAAGTATTGAGAAACTTTTGTTATTGACCAAATACTTATTTTCCACCATAATTTGCAAAGAAATTCATAAAAAAATCCTACAATGTGATTTTCTGGAAAAAAAAATCTCATTTTGTCTGTCATAGTTGACGTGTACCTATGATGAAAATTACAGGCCTCTCTCATCTTTTTAAGTGGGAGAACTTGCACAATTGGTGGCTGACTAAATACTTTTTTCCCCCACTGTATATACCCCCTGTCACAGGCTGAAACGGTGGCTATGGAAACATATGTCACCGAGTCCCTGCGCCAGGGGTATATACATCCCTCCACTTCACCCGCCTCCTTGGGTTTCTTCTTTGTGAAGAAGAAGGACGGAGGTCTGCGCCCGTGCATTGATTATCGACCACTGAACAGGGAGACGATAAGATTTAGGTATCCTCTCCCCCTCATTCCTTCAGTGATTGAATCAATGCATGGGGCGCGCTTCTTCACCAAATTAGATCTCAGGAGTGCGTACAACCTGGTGCGTATCCGAGAGGGAGATGAGTGGAAGACAGCATTCAGCACAACCACGTTATGAATACCTGGTGATGCCCTATGTTTTGATGAATGCTCCCTCAGTTTTCCAGTCCTTTGTGAACGAGGTGTTTCGGGACATGCTTGGTCGCGGTGTAGTGGTCTATATCGATGACATCCTGGTGTATTCCGCTATGCACGCCGAGCATGTGTCCCTGGTTCGCAAGGTGCTGGCCCGACTGTTGGAAAATGACCTTTATGCTAAGGCAGAGAAGTGTATGTTTTTCCAGAAGTTTGTCTCCTTCCTTCGATACCGCATTTCCACCTCAGGTGTGGAGATGGAGGGGGATCAAATTTCAGCCGTACGTAATTGGCCGACTTCAACCACAGTTAAGGAGGTGCAGCGCTTCCTTGGCTTTGCCAACTGCTATCGGAGGTTTATCCAGGGCTTTGGCAAGGTCGCAGCTCCCATTACCTCCCTGTTGAAGGGTGGGCCATCCCGGCTCCGCTGGTCTGCTGAGGCTGACCTGGCCTTCAGCAAACTGCGGGGTCTGTACTGGCCCACCCTGATTTATCACTACCGTTCGTAGTGGAGGTGGATGCGTCCGAGGTTGGGATAGGAGCTGTCCTGTCTCAACGGTTGGGTACGCCACCCAAGCTCCACCCCTGTGCGTTCTTCTCGAAGAAGCTCAGCCCGGCGGAGCAGAACTACGGCGTTGGTGATCGGGAGCTGTTGGCTGTTGTCTGAGCCTTTGACCGTGTGGAGATATTGGCTCGAGGGGGCAAAACACCCTTTCCTCGTCTGGACGGACCACCGTAACCTGGAGTACATCCGGGCAGCGAGGAGGCTGAATCCTCGCCAGGCCAGGTGGGCCCTATTCTTCACCAAGTTTGATTTCACTCTATCATACATCCCGGGTACAAAGAACGTTAAGGCAGACGCACTGTCCCGGCTGTATAACACAGAGGAGAGGCCCAGCGACAACACCCCCATACTGCCGGCCTCCTGCATGGTGGCGCCGGTAGTATGGGCGATGGACGCGGATATAGAGCAGGCATTACGCACGGATCCCTCTCCACCTCTGTGTCCAAATGGCTACAGTACGTGCCTGCTCTTATCCGTGATCGTCTGATCTACTGGGCACACACGTCACCCTCCTCTGGTCACCCAGGTATCGGCCGTACTGTGCGCTGCCTGACCGGAAAATACTGGTGGCCTACCTTGGCTAAGGATGTGAGGGTGTACGTTTCCTCATGCTCAGTGTGCGCCCAGAGTAAGGCACCTAGGCACCTCCCAGCTGGTAAGTTACAACCTTTACCAGTTCCACAACAACTATGGTCTCACCTAAGTGTTGATTTTCTAACTGATCTTCCCCTCTCTCATGGTAACACCACTATCCTGGTCGTTGTGGACCGCTTTTCTAAAGCCTGCCGCCTCCTTCCTCTGTCCGGTCTCCCCACGGCTCTGCAAACTGCAGAGACCCTGTTTACACACGTCTTCCGGCATTACGGGGTACCAGAGGATATAGTGTCTGACCGAGGTCCCCAGTTCACGTCCAAGGTCTGGAAGGCGTTCATGGAACGTCTGGGGGTCTCGGTCAGCCTGACCTCTGGGTTCCACCCCGAGAGTAATGGGCAGGTGGAACAGGTAAATAAGGACGTGGGTAGGTTCCTGCGGTCCTACTGCCAGGACCGGCCGGGGGGGTGGTCGGTGTTCTTGCCATGGGAAGAATATGCCCAGAACTCTCTCCGCCACTCCTCCACTAACCTAACGCCTTTCCAGTGTGTTCTAGGTTACCAACCGGTTCTTGCACCGTGGCACCAGAGCCAGACCGAGTATCCTGCGGTGGATGACTGGTTTTGGTGCGCGGTGGAGACGTGGGATGCTGCCCACGTTCACCTCCAACGCGCAGTGCGTCGTCAGAAGGCCAACGCTGACCGCCACCGCAGTGAGGCCCCCGTCTTTGTACCGGGGGATCGGGTCTGGTTCTCGACCCGGAATCTGCCCCTCCGCCTGCCCTGCCGGAAGCTGAGCCTGCGGTTTGTGGGGCCTTTCAAAGTCCTGAGAAGAGTCAACGAGGTCACTTATAGGTGGTTATTACTTCCCCCTGATTACCGTATTAACCCCTCGTTTCATGTGTCTCTCCTCAGGCCGGAGGTAGCTGGTCCGCTCCAGGAGTCTGAGGTGCGGGAGGTCCCTTCACCTCCTCTGGACATCAAGAGGGCCCTGGCGTACTCTCTCCGTTCCATCCTGGATTCGAGGCGTCGGGTGGGGGGCCTTCAGTACCTCGTGGAGTGGGAGGGGTACGGTCCGGAGGAACGGTGCTGGGTCCCGGTGAGGGATATCCTCGATCCCTCCATGTTACGGGATTTCCACCGTCGCCATCCTGCTCGCCCTGCTCCGGCTGGAGCCGCGTGTCAAGGGGGGGTACTGTCACGTCTTCCGCCGAGGCTGCCTCCCCTCCTTGTTCGGGCAGGTTTCGGCATTCGGCATCACCGGCTTACTAGCTACTGCCGATCCATTTATCATCACTCCATTTGTCTTGTCTTCAATCACACACACCTGGTCCTTATTCCCTCATTAGTCATTGTACAGTGGGGAGAACAAGTATTTGATACACTGCCGATTTTGCAGGTTTTTCTACTTACAAAGCATGTAGAGGTCTGTAATTTTTATCATAGGTACACTTCAACTGTGAGAGACGGAATCTAAAACAAAAATCCAGAAAATCACATTGTATGATTTTTAAATAATTAATTTGCATTTTATTGCATGACATAAGTATTTGATCACCTACCAACCAGTAAGAATTCCGGCTCTCACAGACCTGTTCGTTTTTCTTTAAGAAGCCCTCCTGTTCTCCACTCATTACCTGTATTAACTGCACCTGTTTGAACTCGTTACCTGTATAAAAGACACCTGTCCACACACTCAATCAAACAGACTCCAACCTCTCCACAATGGCCAAGACCAGAGCGCTGTGTAAGGACATCAGGGTTAAAATTGTAGACCTGCACAAGGCAAGGATGGGCTACAGGACAATAGGCAAGCAGCTTGGTGAGAAGGCAAGAACTGTTGGCGCAATTATTAGAAAATGGAAGAAGTTCAAGATGACGGTCAATCACCCTCGGTCTGGGGCTCCATGCAAGATCTCACCTCGTGGGGCATCAATGATCATGAGGAAGGTGAGGGATCAGCCCAGAACTACACGGCAGGACCTGGTCAATGACCTGAAGAGAGCTGGGACCACAGTCTCAAAGAAAACCATTAGTAACACACTACGCCGTCATGGATTAAAATCCTGCAGCGCACGCAAGGTCCCCCTGCTCAAGCCAGCGCATGTCCAGGCCCGTCTGAAGTTTGCCAATGACCATCTGGATGATCCAGAGGAGGAATGGGAGAAGGTCATGTGGTCTGATGAGACAAAAATAGAGCTTTTTGGTCTAAACTCCACTCGCCGTGTTTGGAGGAAGAAGAAGGATGAGTACAACCCCAAGAACAAAATCCCAACCGTGAAGCATGGAGGTGGAAAAATCATTCTTTGGGGATGCTTTTCTGCAAAGGGGACAGGACGACTGCACCGTATTGAGGGGAGGATGGAAGGGGCCATGTATCGCGAGATCTTGGCCAACAACCTCCTTCCCTCAGTAAGAGCATTGAAGATGGGTCATGGCTGGGTCTTCCAGCATGACAACGACCCAAAACACACAGCCAGGGCAACTAAGGAGTGGCTCCGTAAGAAGCAACTCAAGGTCCTGGAGTGGCCTAGCCAGTCTCCAGACCTGAACCAAATAGAACATCTTTGGAGGGAGCTGAAAGTCCGTATTGCCCAGCGACAGCCCCGAAACCTGAAGGATCTGGAGAAGGTCTGTATGGAGGAGTGGGCCAAAATCCCTGCTGCAGTGTGTGCAAACCTGGTCAAGACCTACAGGAAACGTATGATCTCTGTAATTGCAAACAAAGGTTTCTGTACCAAATATTAAGTTCTACTTTTCTGATGTATCAAATACTTAAGTCATGCAATAAAAAGCAAATTAATTACTTAAAAATCAATGATTTTCTGGATTTTTTTGATTCTGTCTCTCACAGTTGAAGTGTACCTATGATAAAAATTACAGACCTCTACATGCTTTGTAAGTAGGAAAACCTGCAAAATCGGCAGTGTATCAAATACTTGTTCTCCCCACTGTATAAGTGTTCCCTCTGCTTCCTTGTCTGTGTGGGTTATTGTTTATTGTGGAGGTTAGTGAAGCTCAGTGGAGCTCGTGTATTTTGTATCGATGGGAGTATTTCCCGTGTGCCTTGTATTTTCCAGTGCGCCTGTTTTGTGCCCTGGAGTGTGTTTGGCGCATTTCTGCATAAACCTGTATTTTGCTGATTAAAGCCTGTTATTCTGTGATTTACCCTCCTGCGCCTGACTCCTTCAACACCACCTCATCACAGATACATCTTCCAGCTTCAAGACATGCGCCTTGACAAGAGATATGTGACAGTTTGGTGTGACCACGATTTATTTTGCCTGCGTGACACATCTCCTTCGCATAGAGTTGATCAGGCTGTTGATTGTGGACTGTGGAATGTTGTCACGCTCCTCTACAATAGCTGTGCGAAGTTGCTGGATATTGGCGGGAACTGGAACACGCTGTCGTACACGTCGACCCAGGTCATCCCAAACATGCTCAATGGGTGACATGCCTGGTGAGTATGCAGGCCATGGAAGAACTGGGACATTTTCAACTTACCGAAATTGTGTACAGATCCTTGCAACATTGGGCCATGCATTATCATGCTGAAACATGAGGTGATGGCGGCGGATGAATGGCACGACAAAAGGCCTCAGGATCTCGTCAGGGTACCTCTGTGCATTGAAATTGCCATAGATAAAATGCAATTGTGTCCATAGCTTATGCCTGCCCATACCATAACCTCACCGCCACCATGGGACACTCTGTTAACAACGTTGACATCAGCAAACCGCTCACCCACACAACGCCATACACGATGTCTGCCATCTGCCTGGTACAGTTGAAACCAGGATTCATCCATGAAGAGCACACTTCTCCAGCGTGCCAGTGGCCATTGAAGGTGAGCATTTGCCTACTGAAGTCGGTCACGACGCCAAACTGCAGTCAGGTCAAGACCCTAGTGAGGACGACGAGCACGCAGATGAGCTTCCCTGAGACGGTTTGTGACAGTTTTTGCAGAAATTATTTGGTTGTGCAAACCCACAGTTTCATCAGCTGTCCGGGTGGCTGGTCTCAGACGATCCCGCAGGTGAAGAAGCCGGATGTGAAGGTCCGCGACTGGCGTGGTTTCATGCGGTCTGCGGTTGTGAGGCAGGTTGGACGTACTGCCTATTGGAGGAGGCTTATGGTAGAGAAATGAATATTAAATTATCTGGCAACAGCCCTAGTGGACATTCCTGAAGTCAGCATGCCGATTGCACGCTCCCTCAAAACTGTGGCATTGTGTTGTGTGACAAAACTGCATATTTTAGAGTGGCGTTTTATTGTCCCCAGCACAAGGTGCACCTGTGTAATTATCATGCTGTTTAATCAGCTTCTTGATGGATTATCTTGGAAAATTAGAAATGCTCACTAACAGGGATATAAACAAATTTGTGCAAAGAATGTGAGAGAAATAAGCTTTTTGTCCATATAGAAAATGTCTGGGATCTTTTGTTTCAGCTCATGAAACATGGGACCAACACTTTACATTTTTGTTCAGTGTAGTTAGCTTAGCTAGCTAGCTAGAGTTGACGATGGTCCTATAATCTTTGTCTATCATGGATTATATGAAACATCCTACCTGCAGACTGAAAAAATTAGGAACACCTTCTCTTTCCATGACATAGACTAACCAGGTGAATCCAGGTGAAAGCTATGTCACCTGTTAAATCCATCTCAAACAGTGTAGATGAAGGGGAGGAGACAGGTTAAAGAAGGAATTTTAAGCCTTGAGACAATTGAGACATGGATTGTGTATGTGTGCCATTCAGAGGGTGAATGGACAAGACAAAACATTTAAGTGCCTTTGATCGGGGTATGGTAGTATGTGCCAGGCACACCAGTTTGAGTCCCCTGTAGCTCAGTTGGTAGAACATGGCGCTTGCAACGCCAGGGTTGTGGGTTCGTTTCCCACGGGGGGCTAGTATGAAAATGTATGCACTCACTAACTGTAAGTCGCTCTGGATAAGTCTGCTAAAATGACTAAAATGTAAGAACTGCAACGCTGCTGGGTTTTTCACTCTCAACAGTTTCTGTGTGTATCAAGAATGGTCCACCACCTAAAGGACATCCAGCCAACTTGTCACAACTGTGGGAAGCATTGGAGTCAGCATGGGCCAGCATCCCTGTGGAACACTTTCGACACCTTGTAGTGTCCATGCCCCAACGAGTTGAAGCTGTTCTGTGGGCAAAAGGGGGTGCAACTCAAAATTAGAAAGGTGTTCCTAATGTTTTGTACACTCAGTGTATGTAAGACAATTGGGATTTTGAACAAAATAATCAAATCATCAAATATTAACTGTCTAGAATTGGCATGTGGTTGGGGCTGATATTTAAAAGTTCAGATTGTTCATTGAGAAGCGAGGAGACGTTAAGCCTAAAATGTATTGAAACTGCAGAAATCACTTGCCATAATGTCACCAAATGGATTTAATAAACTATTCAGACCTCCGTTGCTATATAATTAGCGAGTGGATGCGCCCATTACCTCCTGAATAGCATGAATGAATTAGTCGGCCATTTATATGCATTCATTTTTCAAGGCCTTCTACTTGGCTGAGTGAATTTTTTTTTGTTCTATTCAATTAGACATCCTGCATTCTCAGCAAAGAGACACACATTTTCTACCTCTCATGAGGACTGATAGCAAACTTTTAACATACTTTTGATATCAGCACTGTTTTTCAGAGGAAGAACATTTGGGAACCCTTGGTGTGAAGTAACTAAGTAAAAATGCTTTGAAGTACTTTAGTGGTAGGTTTTTGGGGTATTTGTACTTTATTATTTATAATGGTCCAATTCACGCACTTGTCAAGAGAACACGTGGTCATCCCTACTGCCTCTGATCTGGAGGAATCACGAAACACAAATGCTTCGTTTGTAAATGATGTGTGAGTGTTGGAATGTGCCCCTGGCTATCTATAAATAAATAAAAAACAAGAAAATCGTGCCATCTGGTTTGCTTAATATTTGTAATTTTAAATGATTTATAGCATTTACTTTTACTTTTGATATTTAAGTATAGTTTGGCAATTACATTTACCTTTGATACGTACGTATATTTAAAACCAAATACATTTAGACTTTTACTCAAGTAGTATTTTACTGGGTGACTTTCACTTTTACTTGAGTCTTTTTCTATTAAAGGGCAACTCCACCACTTCTCATTTTCATTCTCCAGCACAATACCATTGTCTGCATACGTGAAAACGGCACATTTTTAGGTTTTGTAGGGAAAAAAAGTTCTACCCTATGACAGATTTTGCGCATAGCTGCGGGAAGTAGGGATGCTGAGGATGCTGCCCTAAAAATATATATATAAATGTCCACAGAGTGGTGCAGAGACACCATTCAATCAAATGTGTGCAGACTCTTTAAGGCAGCACAGGATCACCTTCACCTTGGTGATGAGCGTATCCAGGGGTTGAAGGGAATGCATCCAGACAGGCAGGAAGTCCCAGCTCCGCAGCCTCACTGGCAGACAGCCTGCCCTGTGTACCTGCAGCATGTTCGCCACAGACACCAAGTGGAGGGCCACAGTGAAGGGCACTCCCACCCCCGCCATCACCTGTCAGGCTGCCATGGAGAGGGCAAAGATGAGTGAGGGCAGGAGCAGGAAGCACAGAAGCAGGTAGAGCACAGCGAACCAGTGGTACTTGGTCGTGCACTGCCCCAAAGTCCTGGCCATATGGATGGGCAGGCGGCTGATGGACACAGGGTACCACAGCAGAATGCCCAATATGTTAAAAAATAAATGACACAAGGCAACCTGTAGAACAGACCAGGGTTATTCGAGAGGTATGACGAGAGTATACTGGGACAGAAGACCCTGTAAACACAGCCAGCATGTTCCCTGGGCTTGACAATGCTGCCAGGATAGTTGTGGGGGTTGTCCCAATGTTTGACCCCAGTGTCAATATCTGAGATCACAAGAAATCACAGTACAATGTCATGTCATCACAGAGCCATGTAATGGGGCTGAAACTCCATAGAGTGGAGCTTTGTTTTCTATAGAAATCAGATGGTAAGTTATCTAGTTCTAGATAGGGAATAGCAATGGCTCCCGCTGTGAAACAACAGTCAATTCTGAGATTCTTAGTGATTTGCTGTCTGAGAAAGATTCTGTTTCCATGCATGCACAGCGGATCCCAAGCTCCCACCAGTATGGCCAGGTAACCTGTCCGCCAGCCAAACGAGTATGGGGAGTCTGGAGGGGGGGAGAGAAGGGGATTCAAATTACTTACAGTATGTGAAGTTTCAGTAATGAGCTTTCAGGGGAAATATGTGGGATGCTGGGGTTGTTGTTGTTATTTTACATACTGTATAATGTAGCTCTGTGTTTACAGATGTATTTAAGCTTTGCTTATACTTAAGAGCTTTCCTCATACAACCTAAATGTAGCTATGCTTGCTAAATGATTATGTCAGCTATATTGTAGTGCTTATGTAAAAGCTTTGCAGAGTCGATCGACGCCACCTCAAATCGGCACCAAGTCAAATAGATATTCAATGCAATCATACAACACAGTGATTCCAAAAAAAGGCAATGCTACAGTGCCTTCGGAAAGCATTCATACCCCTTGACTTATTCCACATTTTGTTGTGTTACAGCCTGAATTTAAAATGGATTAAATAGATTTTTTTTCTCACCCATCTACACCAGTGGTGGTCTGTGCCATTTAAGATGAGGGAGGATGATATATTTTTTTTATGAGCATGGCCTTATTTCTATTACAGCATATTGGATGACTGTCATTCATATTCCATTCACCCAGCTCAATGTAACATGTTTCACTATTTTTATTTTTATGAAATTCACTGAGGAGGATGGTCCTCCCCTTCCTCCTCTGAGGAGCCTCCACTGATTGACACACAATACCCCATAATGACAAAGTGAAAACATGTTTTTAGAAATTTTTGAAAATGTATTGAAAATGAAATACATAAATGTCTCATTTACATAAGTATTCACACGCCTGAGTCAATACTTTGTAGAAGCACCGTTGCCAGTGATTACAGCTGTGAGTCCTTCTGGGTAAGTATTTAAGAGCTTTCTAGACCTGGAATGCCCATTATTCTTTTCAAAATTCTTCAAGCTCTGTCAAATTGGTTGTTGATCATTGCTAGTCAACCATTTTCAGGTCTTGCAATAGATGTTCGAGTAGCTTTAAGTCAAAACTGTAACTCGGCCACTCAGGTACATTCACTGTCTTCTTGGTAAGCAACTTCAGTGTAGATTTGGCCTTGTGTTTTGGGTTATTGTTCTGCTGAAAGGTGAATTTGTCTCCCAGTGTCTAATTTTCCTCTAGGATTTTGCCTCTTCTTAGCTCCATTCCATTTCTTTTTTATCCTGGAAAATTCCCCAGTCCTTAAAGCATACCCATAACATGATGCAGCCACCACTATGCTTGAAAATATGGAGATTGGTACTCAGTAATGTGTTTTATTGGATTTGCCCCAAACATAATACTTTGTATTCAATTCAAAATTGAATTGCTTTGCCACCATTTTTTCAGTATTACTTTAGTGCCTTGTTGCAAACAGGATGCATGTTTTGGAAATAATGTTTCTGTACAGGTTTCCTTCTTTTCATTCTGTCAATTAGGTTAGTATTGTGGAGTAACTACAATGTTGTTGATCCATCCTCAGTTTTTTCCTGTCACAGCCATTAAACTCTGTAATTGTTTTAAAGTCAACATTGGCCTCATGGTGAAATCCCTGTGTGGTTTCCTTCCTCTGGAAACTGAGTTAGGAAGGACGCCTGTATCTTTGTAGTGACTGGGTGTATTGATACACCATCCAAAGTGTAATTTATAACTTCAATGGAGCAGAGAGTTGAGTAGCTTGACCAACAGCACCAGACAGGTACACAGGAGCACCAGAGAGCAGGCCAGCAGAATGAGGCTTACCGCCAGCTCTGACAATGACGAATCCACTAACAGATGCCTGCCTAGGGGCATCAACAGAGCAGAGAACTGGGTCAGTCATTCTATTCTGCTACTTTTATCTGTAAAGACCGTCACTAGGGCCCCCAGCCCCAGGACTGTAGTGGAATCAGTATGACTGTCACATATTTCCATGTGACAGTACTTTGTCGCTCGCTCAATTCCAAGAATGAAATTACATTGACCTCCATTTTTGTATATTTACAAGTAGAGTTACGATCTGGGTTGTCCAGGTTGCTGCATTGCTTTGTATTGATGTACAGTAGTATTGATGTACAGTTGAGGGACTAACATTCACAGAGGACTGCAGGTGGAAGAGAAAAACATCCGTCTTTGAAACCAGCTGGTGACTCCAAATATATTACACATCAAGAGAGGCCAGTGGGTAACCGTTAGGGTCTTACCATTAGGATGTGGCTCTTAAACCACACCCTCACCAGACTCATGCCCTCGTCTCCCGTGGCAATGCCTGTGATGACAGATTTGTCTAACTGCAAGGAAGAATAGGAATAAAACATCATATTGATCAATGCAAAGTGATCAAAGGAAGCAGGAGTGATCCACAGCCAAGCTCATTACTCAAGTCTTTCCAGTTTCCTGGACATATGAGCAAAGTGTTTGACCATAGCCATACAGTACAGACTGTTTGGCCCACACATTAACCCCTGCAGTACCTGTATGATGAGTTTGCTGAGTGGTTCAGTGATGACCTTGAGCAACTCCTGGGCCTCCTCTCCAGAGCGGATGTGGAAGGTGTCCACCACGGCCTGAGACAGTCTCCTCAGCAGGCCTGAGACAGTCTCCTCAGCAGGCCTGAGACAGTCTCCTCAGCAGGCTTGAGACAGTTTCCTCAGCAGGCTTGAGACAGTCTCCTCAGCAGGCTTGAGACAGTCTCCTCAGCAGGCCTGAGACAGTCTCCTCAGCAGGCTTGAGACAGTCTCCACAGCAGGCTTGAGACAGTCTCCTCAGCAGGCCTGAGACAGTCTCCTCAGCAGGCCTGAGACAGTCTCCTCAGCAGGCTTGAGACAGTCTCCTCAGCAGGCCTGAGACAGTCTCTAGTGGCAGTAGCACCAGCACTTTAAAACAGCCATGTAAAACAGCCTGTCACTCCAGCAAATGCCCTGCAATGAACAGACCATGTTACTGCACATCATGCATGATGCCAAACTGTACAGGTACTTGGTTCAGGGTTTTTCTAAGGCAGGGCTCGCCAACTCTGTTCCTGGAGAGCTACCGTCCTGTAGGTTTTCGCTCCAACTCTAATCTAGCATTTTGATAAGCTGAATCAGGTTAGCTACAACTGGGGTTGAAGTGAAAAGAGGAGGGAACAGATCTAACGCATAAGGCATTATGGGACAGGAGGATACAGCCGTTTCCAGTGGTGGAAAATGTACCCAATTGTCATACTTCAGTAAAAGTAAAAATACCTTAACCAGTGGTGATTTTAGCAAACTCAACCTTTTTTGGGGATGCATGCCAGCAAAGCCACTATATAACACAACACTAAACAGTACATTAATTACACTATAACGGTGACAAACGGTGCCCACAAACTGTTAGGGCCTACATAAAGCTGTCCCAACAGCAGAGCTTTCTTTTCAGCACAATGGAGTGAATCCTTACCATCACTACACCTGAATATCAACGGAGCCTTGTCTGGCAGCAAAACAGTTCATTCAGCCTCATTTACTGCCTTTTTAAAAAACATAGCTGATATGGCTGACTTGCTAAAACAAATGTGGTTTCTACAGAAAATGTAGATTTACAAACTATGGCATAAGGGTGAGCGGATAAAGAAAATAAAATTTGACATATTTAGCTGATGTTATTGCAGGTGTAGCGAAATGCTTGTGTTCCTAGCTCCAACAGTGCAGTAGTATCTAACAATTCACAACAATACACACAAATCTAAAAGTAAAATAATGGAATTAAGAAATGTGTAAATATTAGGACGAGCAATGTCGGAGTGGCATTGACTAAAATTCAGCAGAATAGAATACAGTATATACATATGAGATGACTAAAGCAGTATGTAAACATTATTAAAGTGACTAGTGTTCCATTATTAAAGTGGCCAGTCTTCCATGTTTATATACAGTGAGGGAAAAAAGTATTTGATCCCCTGCTGATTTTGTATGTTTGCCCACTGACAAAGACATGATCAGTCTATAATTTTAATGGTAGGTTTATTTGAACAGTGAGAGACAGAATAACAACAAACAAATCCAGAAAAACGCATGTCAAAAATGTTATAAATTGATTTGCATTTTAATGAGGGAAATAAGTATTTGACCCCCTCTCAATCAGAAAGATTTCTGGCTCCCAGGTGTCTTTTATACAGGTATCGAGCTGAGATTAGGAGCACACTCTTAAAGGGAGTGTTCCTAATCTCAGTTTGTTACCTATATAAAAGACACCTGTCCACAGAAGCAATCAATCAATCAGATTCCAAACTCTCCACCATGGCCAAGACCAAAGAGCTCTCCAAGGATGTCAGGGACAAGATTGTAGACCTACACAAGGCTGGAAGGGGCTACAAGACCATCGCCAAGCAGCTTGGTGAGAAGGTGACAACAATTGGTGCGATTATTCGCAAATGGAAGAAACACAAAAGAACTGTCAATCTCCCTTGGCCTGGGGCTCCATGCAAGATCTCACCTCGAATCAGCCCAGAATCAGCCCAGAACTACATGGGAGGATCTTGTCAATGATCTCAAGGCAGCTGGGACCATAGTCACCAAGAAAACAATTGGTAACACACTACGCCGTGAAGGACTGAAATCCTGCAGCGCCCGCAAGGTCCCCCTGCTCAAGAAAGCACATATACAGGCCCGTCTGAAGTTTGCCAATGAACATCTGAATGATTCAGAGGAGAACTGGGTGAAAGTGTTGTGGTCAGATGAGACCAAACTCGAGCTCTTTGGCATCAACTCAACTCGCCGTGTTTGGAGAAGGAGGAATGCTCCCTATGACCCCAAGAACACCATCCCCACCGTCAAACATGAAGGTGGAAACATTATGCTTTGGGGGTGTTTTTTCTGCTAAGGGGACAGGACAACTTCACCTCATCAAAGGGACGATGGACGGGGCCATGTACCGTCAAATCTTGGGTGAGAACCTCCTTCCCTCAGCCAGGGCATTGAAAATGGGTCGTGGATGGGTATTCCAGCATGACAATGACCCAAAACACACGGCCAAGGCAACAATGGAGTGGCTCAAGAAGAAGCACATTAAGGTCCTGGAGTGGCCTAGCCAGTCTCCAGACCTTAATCCCATAGAAAATCTGTGGAGGGAGCTGAAGGTTCGAGTTGCCAAACGTCAGCCTCGAAACCTTAATGACTTGGAGAAGATCTGCAAAGAGGAGTGGGACAAAATCCCTCCTGAGATGTGTGCAAACCTGGTGGCCAACTACAAGAAACGTCTGACCTCTGTGATTGCCAACAAGGGTTTTGCCACCAAGTACTAAGTCATGTTTTGCAGAGGGGTCAAATACTTATTTGCCTCATTAAAATGCAAATCAATTTATAACATTTTTGACATGCGTTTTTCTGGATTTTTTTGTTGTTATTCTGTCTCTCACTGTTCAAATAAACCTATCATTAAAATTATAGACTGATCATGTCTTTGTCAGTGGGCAAACGTACAAAATCAGCAGGGGATCAAATACTTTTTTCCCTCACTGTAAGGCAGCAGCCTCTAAGGTGCAGGTTTGCGTAACCGGGTGGAAGCCGGCTAGTGATGGCTATTTAACAGTCTAAAGGCCTTGAGATAGTTGCTGTTTTTCAGTTTCTCGGTGCCAGCTTTGATGCACCTGTACTGACCTCACCTTCTGGATGATTGATAGCGGGGTGAACAGGCCGTGGCTTGGGTGGTTGATGTCCTTGATGATCTTTTTGGCCTTCCTGTGACATCGGGTGCTGTAGGTGTCCTGGAGGGCAGGTAGTTTGCCCCCGGTGATGCGTTAGGCAGACCGCACCACCCTCAGTTGCCGTACCAGGCAGTGATACAGCCCGACAGGATGATCTCAATTGTGCATCCGTAAAAGTTTTGAGGGTTTTAGGTGCCAAGCCAAATTTCTTCAGCCTCCTGAGGTTGAAGAGGCGCTGTTGCGCCTTCTTCACCACACTGTCTGTCTGGATGGACAGTTTCAGATCGTCAGTGATGTGTACACTGCAGTCCTGTCGATGTGGATAGGGGCGTGCTCCCTCTGCTGTTTGTTTGGTTGACGTTTAGTGAGAGGTTATTCTCCCAGGGCCCTCACCTCCTCCATGTAGGCTGTCTTGTCATTGTTGGTAATCAGGCCTACTACTGTTGCGTCGTCTTCAAACTTGATGATTGAGTTGGAGGCATGCGTGGCCACACGGTGCTGAGCACGCCCCCTTGTTGGGCCCCTGTGTTGAGGATCAGCGAAGTGGAGGTGTTGTTTCCTACCTTCAGGGCCCGAGCTTAATGATGAGCTTGGAGGGTACTATGGTGTTGAATGCTGAGGTATAGTCAATGGACGGCATTCTTACATAAGTATTCCTCTTGTCCAGATGGGATAGGGCAGTGTGCAGTGAGATGGCGATTGCATCGTCTGTGGATCTATTGGGGCGGTAAGCAAATTGAATTGGGTCTATGGTGTCAGGTAAGGTAGAGGTGATTCTTAACTAGCCTCTCAAAGCACTTCACAATGGTGGACATCTTGAAGCAAGTGGGGACAGCAGACTAGGTTAGGGAGAGATTGAATATGTCCGTATACACTCCAACCAGCTGGTCTGTGCATGCTCTGAGGCCGTCTGGGCCGGCAGCCTTGCGAGGGTTAACACGCTTAAATGTCTTACTCACATCGGCCACGAAGAAGGAGAGCCCACAGTCCTTGGTAGTGGGCACGTCGTTGGCTCTGTGTTATCCTCAAAGCGTGCGAAGAAGGTGTTTAGCTTGGCCGGTGTCTGTGACGTGGCTGGTTTTCCATTTGTAGTCCGAGATTGTCTGTAGACCCTGCCACATACGTCTCGTGTCTGAGCCGTTGAATTGCGACTCCACTTTGTCTCTGTACTGACGTTTTGCCTGTTTGATTGCTTTATGTAGGGAATAACTACACTGTTTGTATTCAGCCATATTCCCAGTCACCTTGCCATGGTTCAATATGGTGGTTCGAGCTTTCAGTTTTGAGCGAATCCTGCCATCTATACATGGTTTCTGGTTTGGGTAGGTTTTAATAGTCACGGTGGGTACAACATCTCCTATACACTTCCTGACGAATTCAGTCACCGTATCCGTGTATTCGTCTGTGTTATTCTCAGAGGCTACCCGGAACATATCCCAGTCTGGGTGATCAAAACAATCTTGAAGCATGGATTCCGATTGGTCAGACCAGCATTGAATAGATGTTAGCATGGGTACTTCCTGTTTGAGTTTCTGCCTATAGGAAGGGAGGAGCAAAATGGAGTCATGATCAGATTTGCAGAAGGGAGGGCGGGGGAGGGCCTTGTAGGCATCCCGAAAGGGGGAGTAGCAGTGGTCCAGTGTTTTTCCAGAGCGAGTTCTACAGTCAAGTTCTACAGTGTTGATAGAACTTCGGTAGCGTTTCCCTCAAATTTGCTGTGTTAAAATCCCCAGCTACAATAAATGCGGCCTCAGGATACATGGTTTCCAGGATAAGAGGCAATCCATAATTTCGATTAAGACATTAATGAGTGAGCTTAGATGGACATAGTCAATATAACTATTTGTTTAGCACTTTTGAAATGTACAGTACAGTGACAGAATTCAGAACATATAAGCAGACAATGAAAGCTCTTACAATATTCGATGATGACATTTCTCTAAAACAGGCTATAGGCTACATGTGCACCACCAGAACAGTAGGCTAAGTTATGAGGGAGAAAGGTGCCAAATTATTAGGGTGAGGCACATGGGCTACTAACAGCTTACTACACAACATGCACTTAGTATTAGTTTCTTAGCTACAGTATACATATCTCCCTGGCATATGACATAATTTATGCAGCAGCAACAAATACATTTTTGGACTCATCTTGTTGTTCTGTGCTGACTAGAACAGGAAGGTTGTGCGGTGGTCCTTCATGGGCAAATTTTGGCATCAAACTTTGTAATCAAAGTCTGCCATTCTCTGGATTAACGGTGCTTTCAAGTTGTCTTGAACTCACTGAAGTCTGAGATTTCCCAATTCCGAGTTCCCAGTTGTTTTGAACGTGGCAGAAGTCATGCTGGATTGACAGCATGGCCAATGTATTCAACCTTTTCTGGCCCATGGTGTTGCATGTGAATGTTTATCCTTTTAAGCATGGAAAAGAGACCCTTAAACCCAAACTTGGACCACACACCCTCTCCACTGAATAGCAGGCTAGTGATTGCTTTGCAACGCTAGCAGTTAGCCACTGATTCCTTCCAAACCACTCATTGTTGAATTTGCGATTTCAAACTTGTTGTGTAATATTTATGTTTAATGTCCGATGAGCATCGATACGTTTTATTTATAATTGCTCTTCATATGACAAGGATTGAAAAGGATTTGACAGACTTGAATCATGATGATGACTGCTTATCTAGCTTGCTAGCTAAGATTTTGAAAGTATGATGTTGATATGATGTGTCCCCATGAGTGGCAGAACGCTGAGCCAATCACGACGCAACTAGAGAACATTACCAACCCCTTCGCTCTGTATTTTCTGCTGGCTCCCCCACCACCACAGGTAGCACTGAGCTAGCCTGAAACACCTGCATTTTGGTACTGCCTTACTCAAGAAAGAAAAAAAGAGACCATGTTTGTATGCGGCTTTATTAACTCAATGATTGTTTTTTACATTGTTTGCAAACTGATATCTGACACGTATTCATTCCAAAATAAACTTTTTTTTTTAGCTAAACAGGTGGGGTCCCACCTGCCCTGAATGACGGGTCGCCACTGACCTTAATAGAAAATGAAAGTCACCCAGCAAAATTCAACTTGAGTAAAAGTCTAAACGTTTTTGGTTTAAATATACTGAAGTATCAAAAATAAAATTATAAATCATTACACATTCCTTATATTAAGCAAACCAAACGGCACAATTTTTGTAATTTATTTATTTACAAACAAAGCATTTGTGTTTATTGAGTCCACCATATCAGAGGCAGTAGGGATGACCAGAGTTGTTCTCTTGAGAAGTGCGTGAATTTTAGCATTTTCCTGTCCTGCTAAGCATTCGAAATGTAACGAGTCCTTTTGGGTGTCAGGGAAAATGTATGGAGTAAAAAGTACATTATTTCTTTAGGAATGTAGTGGAGTAAAAGTTTTAAAAATATAAATAGTGAAGTAAAGTACAGATACCTCCAAAAATGTATTTTTACTTAAGTACTTTAGACCACTGGCCGTTTCTTACCCTTCAAACTCATCCCTCTCCCCAGCCTGCATCAGAGCAACGATGGTGTTGGTGACGGACGTCCCAAAATTCCGATGATCGGGATGGCAGACCTCACATTGAGCACTACACAAGCAAGCAGTTCAATAAACCCCTATTGATCTATATTACAATGCAACACATCAACAAATAACCTTTCATCTTGTATTGACTTAAATCAGTTGCTCCTCCTGTAATCCAGAGCTATTGTGCAATAGAGTGCAAGAGTGAAATATAGTACAGTAGAGGTTGTGTGTGTGTGTGTTTGTGTGTTACAGGAGTGGGTCGCAGTTCCGGAGCGACCCACTAGGTGTCATCCTCCAACAACCTTAGGCACCTCCTCACTCACAGTCGGGACTAATCATCTTCCTATTGGTGTCACCTGTGTCTATCAGATTAACCTGTGTATTTATGCCCTCACTCCCCTGTGTTCCCTTGCTCAGTTTTCTCTGCTAGTTCCTTAATGTCAAGCAGTACGTATCAGTGTTGGATCACGTGACGGAGTTACAGGTACTCGAGAAGTGTTCTCCCTGTGTCATTGTGTTTTTCCAGTCAGAGTTAGTATTTCGTATTGTTTGCTGTCAGCCTGTTTTTTGGAGACCTATGTGCTCCTCATTTGTTTTCGTGTATAGTCCATTGTTTTGTATCCTGGCTTTTGGACAACCAGTAAAGATCCTTGTTTCACCATCCTTGCCTACTGGGTCACACCTCACACCAACCCTTACAGAAAACTGAGCCAATATGGACCTAGCGGAGGCAGCACAATATCATAGCGCATTGGCAGTGCAGGGAGCCATGCTGGATCAGCACGACCGCGGCCTGCAGCAGATCATCAAGGGTCTCCGCCGGCTGATGATCGCCGTGCAGAGCCAGGTGGACACCCGACCAGCCCCGGCAGCCGGCAGAGTGGAAGCCGCGGCAGCGGCGTCTCCAGTCTCGCCTGCGACATTGCGAGAACCCCGCCTACCACCTCCGGAGAGGTACGACGTACGTCCAGAGGGCTGCAGGGAATTCCTAACCCAGTGTTCCCTGATGTTCAGCTTACAACCCTCCTCCTTCCTGACGAAGCAGGGTCGGGTGGCCTACATTATCACTCTGTTGACGGGTCGGGCTCTTTCCTGGGCTACCGCGGAGTGGGAGAGCCAAACTCCGGCATGCTCCGACTCCTACCAATTCACCCAGGAGTTACGCAAGGTGTTAGACACCTCTCGACTGGTATCAGCCTGGAGGCTTTCTGACGATTCAGGAAGGAGATGCCTCAGGAGGAGATGCTGAGGCTCGCTTGTCCCGGATGGAGAGGTAGAGGCGTCTGCCCCATGGACGTTGCCGGTACTGCGGCCACGCAGGTAACCACTGCGACTCATGCCCGGAGAAGCCAGGAAAACGGGAGGGCTCGCTGGTATCGGGAGGGGTGCTAGTGAGCCGGAACTGAAACCCCAACTCCAGAGACTCCCAGAGTTTTCTCCCCGTCAGGGTTTAGTGGGCCCGCGCTCCGTGTCGGGCGCATGCACTGGTGGATTCTGGGGCCGCGGGAAACCTGATGGACGCAGGGCTTGCCCAAGGGTGGAACGTTCCGTTACTCTCTCTCTCCGAGCCGGTTCCGGTCATGGGCCTGGACGGCCGGCCATTGGGGTCGGGCTGCATCACCCGGCGCACTGTCCCCGTGCGTGTCCGGGTGGCGGGGGGGCTATGGGAGTATATCCAGTTTTTCATTGTTGACTCTCCGGAGTGTCCCCTTATCCTCGGGCACCCCTGGCTGGTCGCCCACAACCCCCGGATAGACTGGTCCACGTGGTGGCTCATCCTGGAGGGAGGCTCCGCCCCCGTCCTGATCTGGTCGCCACCGACCACTCATCAGCCCAAACCACCATCCCAGACCACCTAACAGTCCTCACCTCTTAACCCAGGTCCCTTACGTGTGTGTCTGTGTGTGTGTGTGTGTGTGTGTGTGTGTGTGTTTGTGTGCCACACAAAGCTCCCTCTCCCTCTTAAAGGATAAGTTTTCTTTTTTTCTTGATGCAGGTCTTTAGATGTTGTACACATGAAATTGTGTCATTCCGAATTGTATCCACAATGTTATATTCCCTTTTGAACAAGTTTTCTCTCACTTAACCATGGAAACAATATTTCTGAATGTTTTACTTTTCAACATTATGCCTGGAGTGTTGCAGGTGTAAATCACCTCTTTCACTTTCCATGTGCTTTTGTGAGTCGGGATTCAGCCCAGGTTTTCGCAGGGTCTGGAAGGATGTCACCTTCCAGGTATGACTGTTGGCTCAGGTATTTCCTCTCCACCAGAGCACATGATGAGTCCTGGAGGGGCATGCTGTCATGGAACTCTACGTCTGAGAGGCCTTTCCTATTGTAGAGGAGTCTCTTTCCAGTTAGAAATTAATAGAAATGACATTAGAGACCACAGTAAAGTCAAATTACAGTTCCCTGTGAAAAAATATGTCTTAAGCATGGACCCAACAGAACATAAAATATATGATAATAAACCATTTGGACTGAGGTCAGGTGAGATAATAGAAATGTGATTCTGTATTAAGTAGCCTATGTGAGTCAACATTGCATTCAATCTTGTACGAAGGCGATTTCCAGTCATTTAAAAGGCATAGGCTTTTTTATCATATTCCTCAATTATGCTAATTGTTCTCATTAAGTCATCTTTCAGTACAATATGTGGTTGCATTTGCTCTTAACCTTAAAACAAAACGTTTTCATGAATGTGTACCTCAATTAGGAGGCCCATATACAGGAAGGAGTTAGATCTACCGCTTTTGAAATGCAGATCAAAACGCTGCCACAAAACTGTTTTTGCGAAGCGTAGCGGCATTATAAAGCCTGGTGGTCCATGAAAGGGTTAGATCCTGTCGTCACTGTCTTTATTGCTGCTGAGGAGGCTGATCATCAAGCCATTAGTCTTCCACTAATTCAAAGGCTTTACATCTGTGGGTACAAAAAGTACTCTCCAATGCCACTCAAACTCTCTCTAATCCCTTTGATTAAAAATTAATATCTAGATAGCACATGCTAGCTTAGATCCCAAAAAATGACAATGTTAACAGGACCCACAGAGAGAGAAAATAATTTTCATTATTTTGTTATAAAAATATATGTTTGATTAGTGACAGCTCGTAGACAGACTTTTCGAGCCCAACACTTTACCACCAAACAATTACAGCACACTCCTGTTTTGACAATGTGTGAAGGAGAGAGTCTTGGCTTTTGTATCTCCTCCTAAGTCTGGGGTGCAAAGTCTAAAAGTAGCACCTCTCTAGTGGTTAACCACAAACTATTAATGTGTTCCAGGTGGTTAAATAATAACTAGTGGAATATGAGGGGAGAGTTCATTGATCATGTGTGAAATGCCTAAAGGCTGCAACGCTCTTGAGGAAAGACAGTGTACGAGGGATGGGAAGCGTTCTCATCTTTGCTCCGTCTTTTTAGTGTTGAAATTGAATGTAAGTGTGACACCTTGTGGTCAGACTTGGAGAAGCCCGCGAACGTTGATCTCCATTGAGCCGCCTGGCTGCCCACTACTTGTAAGGTCACTCCGGAAAGGAATAGTTGGTGGTGTTGATGTCATAGCCCTGGCTGTGAATGATGAATCTACTTCCTGGACAGAAACTTACCATTTCTGTCACACAGAGAGGACAAACATGATGAGTCACATGCAGATCTAAGCCAGATCACACACATATTTTTGTAAAAAAATGTTTTACCTTTATTTAAGTAGGCAAGTCCATTAAGAACAAATTGTTATTTAAAATGACGGCCTACCAAAAGGCAAAAGGCCTCCTGCGGGGACGGGGGATTAAAAATATAGGACAAAACACACATCACAAGAAGAGAGACACCACAACACTACATAAAGAGAGACACTTACATTTTAGTCATTTAGCAGACGCTCTTATCCAGAGCGACTACAGTTAGTGAGTGCATACATTTTTATTTTTTGTACTGGAATCGAACCCACAACCCTGGCGTTGCCAATGCCATGCTCTACCAACTGAGCTACAGCTCCCTGCAGCAACACATGATTCAACCAACACCTGGGCAACACAACATTGCAGCAGCCAACATGGTCATCCCTGTGCCTAACGCTTATTGGGCCGACAACAGCACAAAGGCCAGAGGTAGAGAAACATACATCACTCTAAGCAGCCACAACTGTCAGTAGAGTGTCCAGATGAGTCTTTTAGAACAGATAAACTGCCACTAGTTTTTTGAGGATCAGTCGACTATGAACTGAAGAACCGACAGGATGATGTTGCTTGGACACTGTACACAAATGTGACAGGCAGCAACATGTAGTGCTAAACTGGACAAAATATGGGGCAGAAAGCAAAATGCAGAGAGAGGAACTAATGCTAAGAGTTTTCACAAATCAGAAATCCATGATGAGTCTTGTATAGGTGGATACAAATGTCCAGTTTAAAGGTTTTTTAGTTGTGCAGTGATAGCTGCCATGAACGAATAGTGGCAAATCGATGGCGATGTAAGACTCTGCTTGGGCCTAACAAATTACCCGCGAACAGGTTCATGTCAATTGCTAGAGTAGGTATGTCAGATGAGGGAGTAGGCTAAGGGGTTTTAAAAGCATCAAGTGGTCTTGGAGGGTACGAGATTACAGTTAGAGGAACCAAGTCAGTTAATAGTGCAGCTTATATGGAGTATGGTGACAAATCTGCACTGCAAGTCAAGAACTTGATGAGGTCACCAGCCTTACCTCGAGCCTTATAAATACATCCCAATTCTACCAGGTAGGATGGTCATCTGAATCAGGGTTAGTTTGGCAGCTGGGGTGAAAGAGGAGCGATTACGATAGAGGAAACCAAGTCTAGATTTAACCTTAGCCTGCAGCTTTGATATGTGCTGAGAGAAGGACAGTGTACCATCTAGCTATACTCCCAAGTACTTGAATGAGGTGACTACCTCAAGCTCTAAACCCTCAGAGGTAGTAATCACACCGGTGGGGAGAGGGGCATTCTTCTTACCAAACCACATGACCTTTGTTTTGGAGGTGTTCAGAACAAGGTTAAGGGCAGAGAAAGCTTGTTGGACACTAAGAAAGCTTTGTTGTAGAGCGTTTAACACAAAATCTGGGGAGGGGCCAGCTGAGTATAAGACTGTATCATCTGCATATAAATGGATGAGAGAGCTTCCTACTGCCTGAGCTATGTTGTTGATGTAAATTGAGAAGAGCGTGGGGCCTAGGATCGGGCCTTGGGGTACTATCTTGGTGACAGGCAGTGGCTGACACAGCAGATGTTCTGACTTTATACACTGCACTCTTTGAGAGAGGTAGTTTGCAAACCAGGCCAAAGACCCCTCAGAGACACCAATACTCCTTAGCTAGCCCACAAGAATGGAATGGTCTACCGTATCAAAAGCTTTGGCCAAGTCAATAAAAATAGCAGCACAACATTGCTTAGAATCAAGGGCAATGGTGACATAATTTAGGACATTTAAGGTTGCAGTGACACATCCATAACCTGAGTGGAAACCAGGTTGCATACCAGAGAGAATACTATAGACATCAATAAAGCCAGTCAGTTGATTATTGACAAGTTTTTCCAACACTTTTGATTAACAGGGCAAAATAGAAATTGGCCTATAACAGTTAGGATCAGCTTGATCTCCCCCGTTAAATAAAGGACACACCGTGGCTGCCTTCCAAACGGGAACCTCCCCAGAGAGGAGAGACAGGTTAAAAATGTCAGAGATAGGCTCGGCGATGATATGGGCTGCAACCTTAAAGAAGAAAGGATCTAAACCATCTGATCCAGATGTTTTTTGGGGGTAAAATTTAAGGAGCTCCTTTAGCACCTCAGACTCAGTGACTGCCTGCAGGGAGAAACTTTGTAGAGGGGCAGGGGGAAAAGAGGGAGGAGCATCAGGGCTAGTCGCATTAGAAGGGATGTGAGATGAGGAGATGTTGGACAGGCAATGAGGCATGGCTGAGTCAAATAGGAATCCTGACTTAATGAAGTGGTGATTAAAGAGCTCAGCCATGTGCTCCTTGTCAGTAACAACCACATCATCAACATTAAGGGACATGGGCAGCTGTGAGGAGGAGGGTTTATTCTCCAGGTCTTTAACCGTTTTCCAGAACTTCTTGGGGTTAGACCCACAGAGAGAGCATGCATGCACGCACTCACACACACATACACACGCACACACACACACACACACACACACACACACACACACACACACACACACACACACACACACACACACGCATGCAAGCTCACATTGCATGAATATATGATGTGAAGAATGCAGATGTAGCCATTTTGAAAATGTTCAATACCGGTGGGTAAATCAGCTCATTTTCAGGGAAGAATACATTTAATAGAACACTATGTTCTGTGTTGTGTGTTGTGTGGTCTCAAATCAACAACTCTGGAGAATACACAATAAGGTATATTTACAGGTTCAAATGCTTCACATTTTCAAAACAACATACAGACATTGATTCTGACAAATTAGTTCCAAAAATTGTTTTAGGAGAGTGTGTACATAGCCAATGTGTAATAATTAGGCAATAATGTGTGAGGGGGTGTGGTATATTTAAGCAATAAGACCCAAGGGGGTGTGGTATATGGCCAATATACCACGGCTAAGGGCTGTTCTTAAGCACGACGCAACGCGGAGTGCCTGGATACAACCATTATACCACACCTCCTCTGTCCTTATTGGATACAGCCCTTAGCCATGATATATTGGCCATATACCACAAACCCCCGAGGTGCCTTATTGCTATTATAAACTGGTTACCAACGTAATTAGAGCCGTGAGAATAAACATTTTGTCATACCCATGGTATACGGTCTGGTTGTCACGCCCTGACCTTGAATGCCTGTTATTCTTTAGTTAGGTTGGTCAGGGTGTGAATGCTAGAGGTTATCATGTGAATATCTAGGTATCTATGTGTAGATCTAGATTGTATATTTCTATGTTGGCCGGGTGTGGTTCCCAATCAGAGGCAGCTGTAGATCGTTGTCTCTGATTGGGGATCATACTTACCTATGTTGTGGGATCTTGACTCTTGTTTGGCTTGTTTGTGTGTAGCCATTGTGAGCTTCACGTTACGTTGCTTTTGTTGTTTTGTCAAGTGGTTAACTTTGTTAATAAACACGTATGCATTCCACGCTGCACCTTGGTCCAATCCTGTACTCAACGAACGTGACAGAAGATCCCACCACCAACGGACCAAGCAGCGTGCCCAGGAGCAGCAAACACCCTGGACACAGGTGGGGAAGATATTTGCTGGGAAAGGACCCTGGGCGAAGGTAGAAGCCCAGGTAGGAGAGGATCAATGGCGACGTCAGTGGTCCCGACCGCTAAGGAAGCCCGAGAGGCAGCCC